GGCAAAGATGCAGCTGTTGCTGAGTCACTCTGGGAGAAAGACTCGCTGTTTATCAACTGGATATATAGCCTTGGCCTTTGGGTACTTTAAACTAGCACGAGTCAATAGAACTTTCTACAAGGATGGAAATATTCTATTCTGCACTGTCCAACAGAGTAGTCACTATCTACATTGACTAGTAAGCACTTAAAATGTGGCCTACTGTGACTGAGAAAATCAATTTTAGTTATACTTAATTTTAATTCATTTCAATTTCAATAGCCACATGTGGCTAGCAGCTACTATGTTAGTCAAAGTTCTCCCAACAAACAGAACCAACAGGAGATGCATATTAAATAATATATATATAATATAAACTATACATATCACATATTATATATTTTATGTGTGTACATACATATTGTATATATACACATATTGCCTGTCACTTCTGCATGAAGAGTACACACACATAAAATGTATAATATGTGATGTGTATATTACATATATTATTTAATATAATTACATATATAACATGTATATATGTACACACACATAAAATATATAATATGTGATCTGTATCTTTCACACACACAAGCATACACATACATGCATATAGAGAAAGAAAAATTTTCAGAACTGGCTCACACAATCATACAGGCTAAGAGGTCCCATGATCTACCGTCTGCAAGCTGGAGACCCAGGAAGCCTGGTGGTGTAGTTCCGTCCTAGTCTGAAGGCCTGAGAACCAGGGGAGCCAATAGTGTAAGTCTCAGTCCATGAACAGGAGGAGATTGATGCCCCAGCTCAAGCAGTCAGGCAGAAAAAGAGGCAAGTTCTCCCTTCCTCTGCCTTCTGTTCCATTCAGGCCCTTGACAAACTGGATGGTGCCTACTCACATTCAGGAGGGCAATCTGCTTTACTGAGTCCACCAATTTAAATGCCACTCTCATCTGGAAATACCATCATAGGCATACCCCGAAATAAGTGTTAGTCAAACAGCTGGGCATCCCTGATCCAGACAGGTTGACACATAAAGTCAACATCACAGCAACCATACTGGACAGTGCAGCTCTAGGTTTTTAATGACTGTTCTCATGACCTCATTTCAATTGCAGAAACTGACCTTGGTCTTGCTCCATCATTTCTAGTATAAGCTAACTCTTATGGTAAATATGACCTGAATAGCCAAGTGCAGAGAAAGTTATAACCAACCTAAACCCTTAGCCAATCTAGATGGAGAAGGCCAAGGCAAGTTGTGTGACACTGCTGCCCTGGTCCCAATAGGACTGATACCCACAGCTAAGCAGAGAGTAATTTATGAGGACTGAAAATCAGCAAGAGTTAGAGGCTCACTTCTCCCCAAAACTAGACTTTAAAGAAAATTAGGTACTAACACCATCTCTTCAGTTCGTGTATTTGTTTAAGGGTGATGAGAAATGGTGGTGATGGTTCAAAGTTTGTCCACGAGTTTCTCAACCCCTATTAGGGTAAAAGCACATCCACTGCAGACATGACAGTGTCTATGAATGTCTGCAGTCCTCTTCCCCAGCACAGAGCTCTGCTTATTGCAGCAGAGCTCTAAGATGGAGCTAAGAGAACTTTATATTCAGCCATCCACCTATTAATTTAATATACTGACTCTCTCCTGTGTGTCAAGCACTGCCGTATGCCCTGGAGATGCAGAGATGGGCAAAACAAAGTTCCTGTATGCATGGAGTTTACTTTTAAGAGGCTCATTCTAAGAAGGCTCTTTGAAAATAATCCCTGGAATGATCCTGCAAGGTCAACATGGATTCTCAAACAAGGCATCATGGTAACCTCTTATTAAAAATTAGCCTTCTTTAGAAGAGAGCTTGGTATTCTAAGGACTTTGGCATATATCCTACTCATTTGCAGCCTTTTCAATGCCAGAATCAGTGCTGGAGTATCAGACCAGGTTTCTATTCTAGAGTTTCAGGGAAATCTCGAGATGTGTTATGCTACATGTACCATGGCTAAGAAGATGACAATTGTCTTAACACAAGTCCCCAGGAAGGACCTAGCAACTGCTTGACTCCTCAGGCCCCAGTCACCAGAACATCCAGGGAGGTGGATGAGCCTCTCAAAGGCTCTGCGGTGGTGGGGAGTTCAGGGCATCAGCATTTGCTTCTGCTCTCTCTAGAATTTAAACAAGCTCGTACTTTTAAACACTGCTCCAAAGACTCCAGGACTAGGCAACTCTCTCACATACTAAGACAGCAGGCTCATCCTGAGAAAAAAGTCCTATAAAAAGATATGGTCAGTGTAGTTGAAAAGGTACAAGTGTGGGACAACCTGACTTGTAAATTGACTGCGGTAACTTCTTGGTCAATTTGTGTGTTGTTTCACGGATTCACACATTCACTTGGTGCATATATGCCCAGAGATGTACTAAGTGCAGAGGGAGCAAAGATTTTTTAAAAATATGGTACCTGACCTCAAGAAGCTTTTAAAGAAGACAGAATACACTACTCAGGTGATGGAGGCACTAAAAGTCTCCGAAGTTGCTACTGTATAATAAATCCATGTAACCAAAAACCATGTGTAATCCAAAAGCTATTGAAATAAAAAATATTAAAACTTAAAAAGAAGATAGAATAAACAAATTACAATACAGAATAATAACACTAGAAAGAAGGCAGAGCCTGGGTACCTCTGTGAACATAGAGAAAAGGCCCTGAGCCAGGGCTTGGTGGGTGCGAGGACGGTCAGAGAAAGCATCTCAGGGGAAACCAACCTGAGTTGAGTCTTGTAGAATGATCTGAAAGTGGTGTGGTTGGCCATGGTTCTCAACTTTCACTGTACCTCAGAATCCCCTGGGAAAAGGCTAAAGCCTGAGACCTTTCCAGGCCAATTAAATGAGAACTTTTGAAAGTGAGGCCCTTTGCCTTTGAAGGTGAGGTACGGGTGGTTACTAAAAGCTCCCAGGTAACTCTAACGTGCAGCCAGGATTGCGATCCACAATTCTTCCAACAAGGGTGACACGTAAGTGGCACCTCCCTGACTGTTGACATTTCTCAGGTTAGTATGGCACCAATACAGAATTAAAACAAAACAAAGAAAACCGTGGTTCATATTCATTGGAATAAACTAGTACAGCAGAAGCATCGCAGAACAAAACCAATGCAAGGAACAATTCAGCAAAGGATAATTTATGTGGGGAATAAATATGCGCAGAAATTAAATGGCTCAAAAAATGTGACTCCTTCTTCTGGAGGAAATGTATCACAGATTAAACGTGCTTTAAAACTTTAACCCTTATCTAAGCTTAAATCAGGACACGCACAAAACCAGGGAAATAACACAGAAGCCTGCACTAATTACCAAAACTACCCCAGAAGAGAGCTTCATCTCAGGAGATGACAGCATGTATGGTTGTGTCCATCAGTGAGAGAAAATTAGACTTCAAATGCCACCAAAAAAACACCCTGCGCGCTCTCTGAAGAAAGGAAAGTGAGGAAGGAATGAAGAGGAAACAACATTAAATATACTCAGGAAGCGGAAGGAGAGGGAAGAGCAGAGAGAGAGCGACACTGAAGAACGAAGCAGAGCGGAGAAAGGCAAAGAGAAGGCGGAAGCGCAGGGAGGGACCGGGAGGCGAGGGATCTGAAAAGAAAGAAGGCAAGGAAGGCAAGGAAGGAAGGAACGGAAGAAGGAAGGAAGGAAGGAGGAAGGGAGGGGAGGGAGGCGGGGAGGGGGAGCGAAGGAAGGAAGGAAGGACAGAAGGAGGAAGAAGAAGAGAGAGACCAAAGGGAGGAAGGAGGCCAAGGAAGGAAGGAAGGCGAAGGCAGGAACAGGATAAAGGAAGGAAGGAAGGAAACGATAGAAAGACAGGAAGGAAGGACAGGAAACGCATAGCAAGACAAAGGAAGGACAGGAACGGAAAGGAAAGGATCGAGAAAGGGGAGGGAGGAGGAGGAAGGAAGGCAGGAAGAAAAGGAGGGAGGAGGAAGGAATGAGGAAGAGGAAGGGAGGGAGGCGAGGACAAGGACAAGGAAGGAAGCGAAAGGAAGCGAAGAAGACAGGAAGGGACCAGGGAGGGAGGCAGGAGGGAGGGAGGGAACCAGTGTGGTGGCTCATGCCTATAATCCCAGTACTTCAGAAGGCTAAGGTGGGCAGATCACTTGAGGCCTGGAGTTTACAGATCATTTGAGGCCAGGAGTTTGAGACCAGCCTGGCCAACAAGATGAAAACCCATCTCTACTGAAAATACAAAAATTAACTGGGTGTGGTGGTGCATGCCTGTAATCCCAGCTACTTGGGAGGCTGAGGCTGGAGAATTGAGTTAACCCGGGAGACAGAGGTTACAGCGAGCCAAGATCGTGCCACTGCACTCTAGCCTGGGTGACAAAGTAAGACTCCAAAGGAAGGGAGGAAGGGAGAAGGGAGGAAAAGAGGAAAAGTGGGGAAGGGGGGTAAGCGGGAAGGGAGGGAGGGAGGGAGGGAGGGAGAGAAAGGAAGGGAGGGAGAAAGGAAGGAAGGGAGGAAGAGAGGGAGGGAGACAGGGAGGGACAAATGAATTTGCATGTAACCCGGCATGTTCATCTTTCTATTTTATATTATGTACCTTTGCAAAAATAGAATTTGCCAGCCAGGATTAGCCCTGTGGATTAGGTTGTTTGAAATCACTGTTCCTGCAGTGAGGGCCCGTAGCTGATGTGCCAAAAAAAGGGTGAGACAGTTATCTCCGGAAGAATTATGCAGGGCTGCACGAAGAAGAGCCAGTTCCTTCCTGCACCCTCTGGTGAGGAGCTCTCTATCCCCAGGCAGGGCAGTGGCTACCCGCTTGACCAGCCTTTACAAAGGTGCTAGTATTTCACATCCTGATCTTCCTGCTGTGCCTACCTCAAACTGAGTATACACAGTGAAGAACACTTGTCATTGGGGTCTTATCTGTTAAGTTTGCTTCTAAGTGAGAATCCTTGGTTATTAAGCACCTGTTTCCCCATCTTAAATTCCTGCACTAAGTCTTCTCAATTTCTTGTTATTGTAAATCTTACCTTCCTAGGGTTTGTGGTCTGCTTCACAGTGCTCTTTTTGCAGGATGGGAGTAAAAAGAAGCCTGTTTCCTACCAGAGAATAAAGATGCTCCATCAGTGACATAAAATCAAAATTATAGACCCTGAATAAAAACATCACATAGGCCAGGCACGGTGGTTCATGCCTGTAGGCCCAGCACTTTGGGAGGCCAAGGAGGGCAGATTACTTGAGGCCAGGAGTTTGAGACCAGCCTGGCCAATATAGCGAAATCCCATCTCTACTAAAATTACAAAAAATTAGCCAGGCATGGTGGCACAGGCCTGTAGTCCCAGCTTCTCAAGAGGCTGAGGTAGAAGAATCACTTGAACCCAGAAGGCAAAGGTTTCAGTGAGCCAAGATCACACCACTGCAGTCCAGCCTGGGTGACAGAGCGAGACTCTGTCTCCAAAAACAAATCTCATAAACCACACCAGGTCCTTCTTACTTGCAAGAAATGTATCAGTGGTATTCTCCTACCCTGAAACATACAGGTAATATCTAGGTAAAGTTTAATAGTAATAATAATAATAATAATTAGTAGTAGTAGTAGCAATAGAAGTTGTCATCATAATCAATAATAATAGTAATACTAATATTAATAGCAAGGATTTTTTTTGTTTTCTTCACATAAGTCACAGCCAACAAAGCAAGTAATCAGTTTTGGCAAATGGGTACCTCCTACAAGTTTTCAAGGGTTTCAATGAAATGGAATGTTGTTTAATAAACAGCAGAATGTTTAATCGTAAATTACACACACTGTAGACAAAAAGCCTCCTGGGCTTCTCCCTGGCACCTCCAAATCTGAAGTCAGGCAGGTCTTACAATCATAACTGATATGGTTTGGCTGTGTCCCCACTCAAATCTCATCTTGAATTGTAGCTCCCCAAATCCCCACGTCATGGGAGGTACCTGGTGGGAGGCAATTGAATCATGGGGGCAGGTCTTTCCTGTGCTGTTCTCATGGTAGTGAATAAGTCCCATGAGATTTGATGGTTTTATAAAGGGAGTTCCCCTGCACAAGCTCTCTCTTGCCTGCCTCCATGTAGGACGTGCCTTTGCTCCTCATTCACCTTCTGCCATGATTGTGAGGCCTCCCCAGCCATGTGGTACAGTGAATCAATTAAACCTCTTTCCTTTATAAATTGCCCAGTCTCGGGTATGTGTTCATTAGCAGCATGAGAACAGACTAATACAATAACCATAGTAGTAACTGCCATTTATTAAGTGCTTTCTCTATGCCAAGAGCTATGCTAACAGTGTTACAAACTTTATCTCACTTCATCTTCAGAACAACCCAGTGGGGTAGGTATTTTATAGATGATGAAACTTAGGCTAAAAAGGTAAAGTAATTTACCAAGATCACATGCTCGTAATTGGTACCACTAAGAGATTCAACCCATTGCACCATGCCTGGATCTTAAGAAAACCTGTTTCTAACCACTATTCCTCCATACGAAGCAAAAGGAGGAGTAAACTTGAAATCCCAAGGCTGGCTTCTAGTTCTCCTTCTTCCTCTTGTCCTCTGGAGCTACAGGGGTTGTTGTGTATCTCTGAATCTCAGTTTCCTCAGCATAAAACGAGGCTAGGCCTCCTGCCCTGCATATGTCATAAGGTTGTCACAGTGACTGAATGAGTATGAGGGGGTCTAGAAGAGACCTCTAGGGGCTGAAAAGCAAACAAAAAAGCCTCGATGCCATGGCTCACACCAGTAACTCCAGTGCTTTGGGAGGCCAAGCTGGGAGGATCGCTTGAGGCCAGAGTTCAAGACCAACCTGGACAGCATAAAAAGACCCAGTCTCTAAAAAACAAGTTTTAAAAATTAGGCAGGTGTGTTGGTGCATGCCTGTAGTCCCAGGAAGGCTGAAGCAGGAGGATCCCTTGGAACCCAGGAGTCCAAGGCTACAGTGAGCTATGATTGCACCACTGGACTCCAGACTGGGTGACAGAGATCTTGTCTCTAAAAAACTAAATAAATAAAAATAAAAAATAAGACAAGGTCTGAAGGCAGGCACCAAGTCTGCCAGGCATCCCCAGTATTTTGCCCTCAGTTAATGTTTATTGAAGTAATAATGCATCTGAAAGTGCTTAGAAAGCTGTAGAGCATCATAAAGTATGAGGTTCATGAATCCCCGCAGTCTGTGGCCACCTCGGGTGAGGGCTGGCTCTGCTGCTAAAGCCTCCCCAAGGTATCTAGAGAATTCATCTCTAAGGTGCATAAACCTCAGACTTCTAAGCACTAGAAATGACCACTCCATTATGCAGTCTACAGATTTCAGTAGCGAACCATAAGCATGCTGACCGGCCACTTGCTAAAGGATCACTCAGTTTATCAAGCTTTATGATGAAAGGGTCTATTCTGCATTCCTTACCCTCCTCAAGGCACCCCCATTATTCCCAAGGCCCAGCACACAGCATTAACACCTCCACTGGGTTGGCAGTAATAACATTCTAGTGTTTCTCCTCAGCAAAGATTTGCTCAGAAATAAAAAAGACAAGAATATATTTCCCTAATGGCAAATGCAGCAACCCGGATCGAGACTGTTATTCTAAGTGAAGTATCTCAGGAATGGAAAACCAAACATCGTATGTTCTCACTCATAGGTGGGAGTTAAGCTATAAGGACACAAAGGCATAAGAATGATATAATAGACTATGGGGATTTAAGGGGAAGGGTGGGAGGGGTGAGGGATAAAAGACTACACACTGGGTACAGTGTACACTGTTTAGGTGATGGTGCACCAAAATCTCAGCTATCATCACTAAAGAACTTATCTATGTAACCAAACACCACCTGTTCCCCAAAAACCACTGAAATAATAATAATAATAAACTACAAAAAAAGGAATATATTTCCCCTCAGAGAGAAACGTCCTGGAAGGCGAGGCATCAAACGCCACTCCATGGGGGTGAGTAAACCCTGTGGGGTTGAGATCAGCCCCACCGCAGCCTACAAAAATGCTATGTATAATCAGAGTTTCAGCATCCCGATTTATGAAATGGCTCCATTAAATAGGCTCCCAGTTGGCATTTCTGCACACACTATGGGGTGTGCAGAACAGGCTCCTGCTCCAAGGCATGCTCAGCACTGCCCCATGGGGGTATGGCGGTCATCCCACCACCGCTGCCAACCTCCATCAGGTCAAGAGAACAGAGAGATAGGGGGAAATGCAAGAAACTGAGATAACCTCCCCCTCCCCTCCACACACACACACACACACACACAAATATATTCCACAGCCAGAACAGTCATACCTGGCCATCACAATATGCAAGATGCCCCATCTCCAGGATCCAGGTGAAATCCTCCCCTATCCCCTAAAAAGAGCTCTTAATTTCCCTGTCACTGAAACAGAGCTGGGGAAGTGGGTGGAGCCATCTGGCTTTATACCTATATCTCCTAAAAAAAACAAAAACAAAAACAAAAAAAAAAGAGGGGGGCTGGGAAGGGCTTACAAGGAAAGAGTGTGTCACTGTAGCACTGCCTAGAGACAGATTTTCTGGCGGGGATGATGCGATGATGGCAGAGGGTAGGAAAATGTGCTGCAAAGTTTACAATCTGCCCCATCTGTTCAGCGCTGTTCTGTCCGTGGCAGGCGCGAATGGCTTTAATCCTTTTGCCAGCGCCAGACCACAATGCAAAGCCCAGGCCTGTCTGGGAAGCTACAGAGACGTGGAGAGGCCAGCACCAACTGCGGCATGGCCGCAAGCAGAGGTTTGCAAGAGCCCAAACCCCAAAGGCAGAAAAGCCGCAGTGATCCTTCATGGCAGCCCCTTTTCTTGAGATCTAGGAACCCTCTCATCTCTAGCATCTCTGGAGCTGCAGGGATTGTTGTGTAGTCTGAATCTCAGCGTCCCTCAGCATAAAACCAGGCTAGGCCCTCCTGCCTGCTGATGTCATAAGGTTTGTCACAGTGCTGAATGAGTAAAGGGGGTCTAGAAGAGACCTCTAGGGGCTGAAAAGCAAACAAAAAAAGCCTCGATGCCATGGCTCACACAGTAACCCCAGTGCTTTGGGAGGCCAAGCTGGGAGATCGCTTGAGGCCTGGAGTTCAAGACCAGAGCTAGGCTTTGAAAACACAAGATGAATAAGAATGCAAATCGGTCCTTTAGGTTCATAGTCTTGTGGGAGCCCATAGATGTGGCCCAATGGGTAGCACCTGGTAGTTGACTATGAATCAGCAAGGTAATTGAGCTGTGAAGGGCTTTATGTGCCCAAGCCAACAGTGCGTGGATTTTTTTTTTTTTTTTTTTTTTTTTTGAGTCAGAGTCTCACTTTGTCACCAGGCTGGAGTGCAGTGGCCACAATTCTCAGCTCACTGCAACCTCCACCTCCCAGTTTCAAGCAATCCTCCTGCCTCAGCCTCTCAAGTAGCTGGGACTACAGGACACGCACCCACCCCATTGCCCTAGCTAATTTTTGTATTTTAGTAGAGGATGGGGTTTCACCATGTTGGTCAGGATGGTATCAATTCTCTTGACCCTCATGACCCCGCCCCACCCTCAGCCTCCAAAAGTGGCGACTACCAGGGGTGAGCCACACCGCACCCAGGTAATGCATGATTTTTTTTCTCTACATTTGTGGGTTTCATAAAACACAATCCAGAGGGTACAAGAAGAAAATACAAGAATGTTATATTTATTTTTTATTACGAATTAATAATAATACAGCTAAGTTTTATTATATTTCACCTCTACAGCCCAACGATCTTCATACCTTCACCTGGTCCCTCATCAGTGACCACAAGTCCCACAGGTCTTGAGTGATCCTGGGGGGAAGAGTGGGCATCCCACAACATTGGATGGGTTGACCAGTGGCGATTCCACTTTCTCAGCTCCTCATCTCAGCATGATGTGGCCTATTATACTAGCGCACGCTGGGTAAGTGGAACTACAGAGAAGATTCAGCGTTTAACTATCCCCAAAGTGGGCAACGAGGCCTTAAATTTTTTTCTAAAAAGAACCGTGGCTGAGAAAAATGCAAATATACTGAGACCAAACAGCAAGAAGAAGGCAGAACTGACAAGTGTGGATTAGCCCGATTTCAGG